TGTATCAAAAAAAGCGCAATCCTCGACTGAAATGTAAATTGCCAAACAAATAATAGACGAAAACGTTAAAGTTTACATTCATTTTAAAGTGTAGCCATTCAGCTTTCTAACAGTGGGTTGTTTCTTAAATTTGACTCATTGGTTCGCGGGTAATAATACTTTACGTTATTGCGATTGGAGATTAAAAAAATTGAGATGGAATAAAAAATCGTTCTCATGAAAATAACTGATTTTTTCATTAAAACAAAAAAATGTTGCATTTTATTAAATGGATTGTAACAATAAGTATAATTACGGCTTTTCTTCCACTATTTTTAACTCAGTTTGAAACTTCAAATGCGATATAATTTTGGCTTTGACCATCTAAGCTGACTGACATCAGCTTGCTATAATTTCTGTTTACATTACATCGCAATTCGATGACACTCTGGCTCAGACACCAGAATGTTTTGATTCTATGATTTTTAGCATTCGTTTAGGATTTTCAAACAACCTGGTCTCTTTTAAAATACTTTTAATTTGTTCTTACGTGGTTTTCCAGATGTAGTGACGACAACATTAAAGTTTAAAGAAGAAAATTCTAACATTTAAACCGACTAAACAATAACATAGTAAACTTGCATAATTAAACAGCAACTAAAAATGATAGGTTTTACTAAATCTTTTCCTGTGCAATTATTACTAGCATTGGAGACAAGGATAATCGTTTGTTTGAAAGAGAAAAGAACAGGCTTGAAGTAAGCCTAAAAGCGTTTAACTAGAAATAGTATTTCGAAAGTTATTAAGCACAAAAGATGAATTGCGTTTATTTTGATACACCCTGTAGAAAGGTTTTGAGTCCAATTTGAACACGTCCTTTGGACTGGATTATATTTGTGAGAAAATTGTATATTTTTGATACACTATTGCATCATTTTATCCCATAGTTCCTCTGCGGTATATATTATGGTTTAAACGCGTTCTCATTTAAAAATACAGGACCAATTATTATATAGTTAACTTGTGATGTTATTCTCACTGTCATTTCAGCTTAAATAATTAAATTTGCATGCACGCTGAGTTTCTCTTGGTGTACCGTGAGCTGAATTCTAACACATTCGCTTCACAGGTTCCATGTCATAAAAAGAAGAAGTGTAAAAATGGGGGAAAGACGATCATTTATCTCAAAGATGGACCCAGTTCTGATCCTTACAGGTGTGAGTGTCCAAAGGGATTCAGTGGAGATCTTTGCCAAATTGGTGAGTTGTTAAAGAAAAAGATTGCGGCGCAAGATAAAGATGAAATAAAGTGAGAATCAAACGTTGTTGAAACAAGAACTCATATCAAGCCATGCTAAAAGTGTTTACGCATGTTCGCAATTATAGCATTGGCTGAATTCAGCTTTTGTTGCAAGAATTTGTTGCAATTGGCTGAATTCAGCTTTTGTTGTGCTGCAATTTTGTTTCCTGTATTACTTCGCCTTAAATAATTTATTATTTTGCCGACGAGGTGCATGTGTTGGATTCATTATCTATGTATAGATAGATAAGGGAACAAATTTGAGTACAGTTTGGAAAAACACTCAAAATTGTATGAGTCGGAAGGATGAAACCTCACGAGGCTCTTGCAACATTATGTTTTTTAGAGTTCACTTGAAATGTTTTGGAACTTTTTAGGGACTTAATTTTTAATTTGATGTTTTTTCATTTGCGATCGTATCAACATTTTTTAATGTCTTATATTTACAAAAATACAATGGATAAAAAAATGTGTTGACCATTAGAATTTCATTATGTTTCTTATTCTCATTTAGTCCCGACGCCTTCTGTCGACTCCGCCATACTGTCTGGAGAACCAGCTGACTTTCTGACAAGATTAACTTCATGGACCGGAAACACATCAAGCACTAATTGGACGCTGTGTTGGCGTGCAACTGAGCATGGATGGGCAGCAAGTACCTTTCATGGAAACTGTGATTACAAGAAACCAACCGTGACCATAATAAAAGTTGGTAACTTCATCTTCGGTGGTTATGCTACGGAGTCTTGGGAAAGTGAGGCTATACAAGAGTTTATATTTTTACTATCAAGTTTTCTATGCCAGAGTCGTTGCTTGGAGATATGCCTGCATGCAGGTGCATGTAAGCGTGTAGATATACTCTAAAAATAAATTCTATAATTAATATATTGATAATCGTGACGTCCGGGCAGGAGTTTGAACAATACATTCGATCAAACAGAGTGAAGATGTTTATAGGCAGATCATAATTTACAAGTGCGAGAGTGAAATGCATGCAACCAGGCATGTTTTTATGTGCTTTTGTTAAAATATAGCAGCTCTCTGGGCAACATTACTGTTAAACACTCAACTACTTATTAAATACGAACTCACTCGTACAGACTGGCAGGTGTTGTGATTCTATATTTAACCCCATTTTAGGACAGAAATTAAGTTGTTTGCTTTGATCTACTTTATACATCACTAGTACGCGACGAACTTCATTAAACTTTCGAAGTGACAAAGTGTACAATGAGATAAAAAATAAAGCGTACTTAGCCTTTAAATTTAAAACAAAATTCGAACAAGGGTTGCCAGAAATTTGATTCCTACTTCAATATAACATGACTAGTATCGATATTCACTGAAAGTAAAAAAAACAAGTTGACTGGAAGGACTATGAAAACTGCATTAATTTCTTAAAGGAAAAATTAAGGAGATAAGATGCATTTATGCTTTTGTTTTCTAAAACCACAATATGCAGTTGTAGTATAGCTTCAGCGTATGTACACTTTTAAGTGTTTGATTACTGACAGCTGTTTCGAGAGCTGTTTAAGTGTTTTTGTGTTGAATGTATTTATTCAATACACCTATTTCGCCGAGGAAGAAAAAGAACAGACTTTTCATTGCTTAGACAAGTTGTACTCCTCCAAATGGCTCAGATGGCAATGAGATTGGTATCAGATATGCACATGCATTAACGAACCTTTTCAACGGAGGAGAATTTGTCTTGACATTATTCGTCTGAGCTTTCCAACATATTTAAAAATAGGCACGCTTGGCGTACATGTATCTGCGCGAAGGAGTTACATGGTTGCTATGAAAAAATTTAATTCACAATTATTGAGTAAACATTCATATCTCAAAGTTACAATACAGCCGGCAGCTATTTATATTTGTTAACTAAACCGGCACAATTCTTTGAAAATTCAACGAAACTGTGTGAAATATATTAGATCGCTCAGTGAAAAGACGCCATTTTGAAACTGAACTGAATATGTCACTGAAGCACTCTATCGTTGGAGTTCGGAATTGTGCGCGTGCGTACAAGTGTATGGGCTAATAAACCACAAATGTACCACAAGCATGGCATGAGCCGGCTATCCTACATAAATACGAGCTTGTTACTATAGTACTAAAATCATGGAACCGAGGAATCGATGGCATTTCGGCTTAATCGTTGAACCGTGAGCGTGCGATGCGCTAACGCAAACTAGATTTCTCGACTACGAAAAAAACCCAGAAAAAGAGAGACTTAAGACACTTGGCCTACAGGTCAGTGTAATTAATAGACAATCGATACTATTAAAGAAACATGCACGGTGACTCACGGAATTAAAGCTCTACGATGTTTATATACTTTGACTTCGGGCAATCTTGTAGGATATAACAAAAAGTTTTTTCATCGGACAATATTGGCTTATCTCAAAGAAACAGTTTCTCTATACAGGGTGTATAAAAAAAACTGAACAGATTTGAAATTGCTCTCAATTTCGCAAAACAGCTATTAGTATCCAGTTTTTGATATATATATATATATATATATATATATATATGATAGTTTTGGAGTTGAAGCTGGTCTAAAATTCTTTTTAAAATACTAAAATATGTACAATAAAAAGTCTAAAAAGTTCTAAATTTTCGGTTGCTAACTGCAACCTTCATCAGAG